GCCGTGGGAGAGATAGTGATAGGACACTGAGCAGCACAGGGCTGTAGAGAGATATAAAGCCAGAGGGAAATCCCACAAAGGAGAAGAACAGAGAAATGGGATATGAACTGCTGAGCATCCTGGGACAACAAAAGCCTGCTGGGAGGAACTGAAATTTGGGGATGTAGTACCCAGACAGACTGAGCCTGTATTTCAGATTGGCAATGGATCTATGCATCCCAGCACAACCAGGGTTCTGTTGAGAGGAAAAAGGAGGGACTGTTCCTGGGCTTGGGGCACATTGGACCTTGTGGGAGACAGACTGTGCAGCAGGCTGCTAACAAAATGTTTAGCCGATGCATCAGGGACGGAGAGAGAGGCAGATTAAAGGATATCTCTTGGTGCGTGTGAATGCCACCATCGCTAACTGGTGTGGCCTCATTGGGGAGAACAATATTGTTCCTGATTGGTGTCACCGCCTGATTGTGGGGTTTGATGCTGCTGCCATAGATTACACTGAGCTGCCAACGGAGAATGGAAGGAGATAAGTTGCCACTACAGAACTTTGTAAGAGATCGCTGGCCAAACCCTACTGCACACTATTAGAGGAAAAAGTGCTACATTTTGAAGTATTAGATTGAAAAGACCCCACTTATGGTTTTTGTAAAGGGTTAATGTTGGGTCTGGCTTCTCAAGAAGCACACTATAGGTGTTCCTACTGAGGATGCATCTATTCCGAATACTCCCTATAGTGGGTAAGTGGCAAATACATTAGTAATGAGACCCCATTTACCAATAGGATACTGATATTCAGTCTCTTCAGGCAAATCAGCCTCAAGCTTCTGTGCGATGCCAGCGGTGTTGTGAGTAACGCCTAGCAGCAGGGGCGATAGGTGCTGCAGCATTGGATGTTTGGACTGCTTGGATGTAAATTGATAAAGTGTTCCTGAGTAAGAGGACATTAGTCTGTGAATTATTCTGTGCAGTGTGTAGAGCTTAGTGGTTTATCTTTCACAGTGTTTCCTCATGTTTCAGGTACAGGCTTCAGTGAAGACCATTCTTGATATTCTGTTAATATTCACGTCTTGGGTAGAAACTTGTTGTACTTGTATATTTCTGTTTATATAGTTCTGTATCGGTAAATATAGGTAAGGGTAGGGGTGAATATGCTAAACACAGACAAAACATCAGAAAATCACGATATATGGGGGAGGGGCTGGATTATGGCTGGATCATGGCGCTCGCTGCCTTGATTGCCCTGTCCTGACTACCCTGTACTTACCTGCAGTGGCGGGTGGGGATGGAGGATCTTCCTGGAGCTGAGTCCCCAAAATGGCCGGAAGGCCTGTGGACGACAACCGTAAAGAGCCCTGGGATCCCGTAGTCCAGAAGCAGGAGGAGGAGATTGATTGTCCCAGAGACAGAGACGAATAGATAAGTGTGGAAAGTATCATGGAACAGAGTGTCACAGAACAACAAGGAGCCATGTCACAAATACCTACAAAAATTGACATGGCGGAAATGTTCGCAAAAATGGAGATGTGCCTGAAAAATGAGTTGGGGGTATTACTTAATGACCTGGGTCGGCTACTAGCTAGAGTGGAAGAGGTAGAAGAGAGATTAGAAACACATACTCAATTAATCAACAAATTGGAAATGCAGGTAGAGGAGATGCGAATTGAACAAAGAAAGCTCTCATATAAGTTAGAGGACCAGGAGAACCTCGATAGAAGAAAGAACTTAAGGATTCTGTGCATACCAGAAGATCAGGCAGAAGATCTAGAGGAGAGAAGAGTGTGTAACCCAATAATGGGTAGACCGGTGTCCAAAAACCTCTAAATTGAGAGAGCACACAGGATTAGAAGGCCTTTAGCAATATCGGTGGACAGCCCCAGAGACGTGATAGTCCGATTTCATCATTATGCAGACAGAAAAAGTCTATGGAGAAGTATACGGGACACTACTGAAATAAAATATGAGGAAATAAAGTTGCATATCTTTGCTGACATCTCCCCAGAGACTCTGGCAAGAAGAAGATCTTTGGAACCGTTATTGGAACAAATGAGAGAGAAATAAATTCAATATAACTGCGGCTTTCCTGCATGTCTGATTGGTTGGAAAGATGGTAAATCAGCAAGACTTCAGTGATTTCTGCAAGAAACTAGAGGTACAAAAAATAGTACTTGAAGGATGGTCAGAGGGTCTTCATGTGAATGACAGGTGGGGGGCATGAAAATGGCAGCAGGTAACTAGGAGGTCAGGCGTGGCAGGGGGTGGGGGACAGTATGGAAGATCGAAGAGTGGGGGGAGATTTGGGGATGGGGTGTGAAGGGAGCCCCTAGGTAAAGTCTTGGAGTAGCAGGCCCTGTTCCTACCTCGTACCCCCTTCCCTCTCCCCTTTTTTTTTTTCTATATTCTCTCCAAAGCCACCTGCCCTCTCCCAGTTGTGCAATGAACTCCCTTTGCTCGGTCCCTCCATGCCTAGGTGTGACGAAGGTCGGGAGGGATGGAGGGGTAAAGAAAATTTTCTAAATTGGGCAGCCCGAAGGCTAGACACACTGTCAAACCCCAATCTAACTAACGTTACGAACTAGGGATTGGAGTGGACGTGCATGCTCTGAGTCTCACCCCAAATTAGGAAACACTAGTGGAAAATATCTACGTCCGATTCCAGGGCAATATATATGCCACGAAGATCCAAGGAGTATGGGGGAGGGGGAGAGGGATAGTGAGGTTGTTGGGGGGGTGGTGGAGGGAGGGTTGTGGGAGGGGGGAGGTCCTTGTCTTGGGTTGTTCATATCTGTGTCCCTGTGTTGGGCAAGTGGATAGGATAGAGAAAGGATTTCAGAAATGAGATCGATTACGTTTATGAATTATAAATGTAAAAGGATTAAACTCCCCAATAAAAAGACATAAGATACTCAGGGAAATATACCAACATTCCATAGATGTAGTGTTTCTTCAAGAGACACATATAATTTATGATACAAATGTAAAACTATATTCAAAGTACTATCCAACTTGGTATTATGCTGATTGCCCAATTAAAAGGGCTAAAGGGGTAGCAATTGGGCTTTCAAAAAATATTAGCTTCACCCCGGAGGGGAGACTGGGGGACCCAGAGGGTCAGTTTTTATTCCTTAAGGGAAGACTACAGGGAACTGAATATACATTAGTTAACATCTATTGTCCAAATAAAAATCCAGTAACATTCTTGGAGAGTACGTTAAGAAAAATCTCTGAAAATAAAAGGGGTAATCTGGTTGTGGCAGGATATTTTATTTATTTATTTATTTATTTCAGGTACTTATATAGCGCCATAAATTTACGCAGTGCTTTACATATATATATTGTATGTTCACATCAGTCCCTAGCCCTCGAGGGGTGTACAATCTAAGGCCCTTAGCTCACATTCATACATACTAGGGCCAATTTAGACAGGAACCAATTAACCTACCAGCATGTCTTTGGAGTGTGGGATGAAACCAGAGTACCCGGAGGAAACCCACATAGGCACAGGGAGAACATGCAAACTCCAGGCAGGTGATGCTGTGGTTGGGATTTGAAACCAACGACCCTAGTACTGCCAGGCGGAAGTGCTAACCATTTAGCCACTGTGCTGCCCACATTTGTGTCTAGATCCGAATTGGATGCGTCTTCTGGTACTTCGAGAGAGGGTGGTAGGAAATTAAAATCATTGAAGAAATTACTACATCAAGGTCGATTGACCGACTCTTGGAGAGTAAAACATCCAAGAGAAAGAGACTACACCTTCTCTCCAGTACATGTAACGTACCCAAGACTGGGTTATATTTTGATTGAACATAGACAACTAGAGTTGCTGGTTAGCTCCAATATAGAGGTAATGTCTATCTCTGATCATGCTCCTGTCACAACGAGACTTCGGGTTGGAGTGGAGCAGGACAAAATAACTACTTGGAGACTTAATGAGATGCTTATACAAGATCCTGAAATAGAAAGAAAGATTAGACAGGAAATTGAGCAATTTTTTAGTCTAATGAGACTAAAGAGGTCTCCGTAGCCATGGTGTAGGAGGCTCATAAGGCATATATAGGGGAATATTGATAGCGATAGGGGCCTAAAAAAAGAGAGAAAAGGGGGGAGGGAATATAAAGCGGGTAAGCTATATAAGTTAGAACAGTTACAAAAAAAAAATAAGAGAGGTATGGATATATATCAGAAGATAATCCTTAAAAGAGAACTAAAAGATCGAAACAGGAGGAAGATATTTAATAGGGTATCAAAAGAGAGATATCAGTGGGGGAATAGGCCTGGAAAACATTTAATGAAGAGGTTAAAGGAAAAGAAATACAAAAACTTTATAGATAAAATTCAAACTGGCAAAGGAGAACTGGTGTATTCCATCACTGATATCAGTAACAGTTTCAAGAATATCATAGTAGGCTTTATGATGTGAGCCCGAAAAACCAAAAAGAAATAGAGGTTGATATGAAGAGAAAAAGGCAGAAATATTTAAAGGAGGTAGAGTTGCCAAGATTAGCAGAATAAAAACTAGAGGCCCTAGAAAGAACTACCGTATTTTTCGCTCCATAAGACGCACTTTTTTCCCCCCAAAAAAGGGGGGAAAATGTCAGTGCGTCTTATGGAGCGAATGTAAAGCGGACGGTCCGGTATTTCGGCTAACACCATGTCAGAATATCGGGCCGGCCGTTTAGCTCTTCTGTCCTGCAGGACCTTACCAGTTCCTCGCTGCAGTCTTCCCGCGGCGGCTTCTGTGACAGCTGGGTGCTTCTCGTGCATGTGAATGCGGTATCAGTGGGCACCCGGCTGTCACAGAAGCCGCCGCGGGAAGGAGAAGGAAAGGACAAACTCCGCAGAAGTGGGAGCGGGTACCTGTCAAATTCAGGTACCCGCTCCCCCTCCCTCCCCAAAGGTCCGCAGTCTCTGGTCATCTCCTTTACTGTCTGCAGTCTCTGGTCATCTCTACTATGTCCTTAGTCTCTGGTCATCTGTACTATGTCCGCAGTCTCTGGTCATTCCCTGTACTATGTCCGCAGTCTCTGGTCATTCCCTGTACTATGTCCGCAGTCTCTGGTCATCTCCTGTGCTGTGTCCTCAGTCTCTGGTCATCTCCTGTACTGTGTCCGCAGTCTCTGGTCATCTCCTGTACTGTGTCCGCAGTCTCTGGTCATCTCCTGTACTGTGTCCGCAGTCTCTGGTCATCTCCTGTACTGTGTCCGCAGTATCTGACCATGCCCTGTACTGTGTCCGCAGTCTCTGGTCATCTCCTGTACTGTGTCCACAGTCTCTGGTAATCCCCTGTATTAGGTCCGCAGTCTCTGGTCATCCCCTGTACTAGGTCCGCAGTCTCTGGTCATCTCCTGTACTGTGTCCGCAGTCTCTGGTCATCTCCTGTACTATGTCCGCAGTCTCTGGTCATCCCTTGTACTAGGTTCGCAGTCCCTGGTCATCTCCTGTACTGTGTCCGCAGTCTCTGGTCATCTCCTGTACTGTGTACGCAGTCTCTGGTCATCTCCTGTACTGTGTCCGCAGTCTCTGGTCATCTCCTGTACTGTGTCCGCAGTCTCTGGCCATCTCCTGTACTGTGTCCGCAGTCCATTGGTTCAGAATATTTTTTTTCTTGTTTTTCTCCTCTAAAACCTAGGTACGTCTTATGGTCAGGTGCGTCTTATGGAGCGAAAAATACAGTAATACCCCAGAGGATATTAATTTGGCCTTAAAGAACAGGACCTCAGGAAAGAGCCCTGGTCCGGATGGATATCCGGTGGGTTATTTTTTAAAAAATGTGGAAATCTTTTGATCCCCAAAATGTGTGGCTATATAAATGCAATAGGAGAAGGGATGCAAATGAGGGAGGAATCATTGCAAGCACATATAACTATTATACTCAAAGAAGGCAAGGATAGCTCACAGTGTGCTAACTATAGACCCATATCCTTATTAAACGTTGATACACAATTGTTTGCTAAGGTTTTGGAAACTAGATTGAAGGAGCAGATGCCGGAGTGGATACACCTGGATCAGGTAGGATTTATCCAGGGTAGAGAGGGGTGGGACAATGGTCTGAGATCATTGTTCCTCTTACAAAGAGTAAAGAGAGAGAAACTGCCAACAATATTCCTATCAATAGATGCCAAGAAAGCTTTTGACAGAGTCAACTGGGGATTTATGTTCGATACGTTAGAAGTCTTAGGATTAGGGCCCAAAATGTTGAAGTGGATGAGAGGTTTTTACAATGGAATGACAGCGGCGGTCAAGGTCAACAGATCCCTCTCCCAGTTTTTTAAAAAGCATAACGGTACCAGACAGGGATGCCCACTATCTCCATTGTTATTTGTACTGTCACTGGAACCCGTTTTGGCAAAGGTAAGATGGTGTGTAGATATAGGGGGAAGAAAGGTAGGGAAAGTGGAGCATAAGGTGGCAGCATACGCAGATGATATGTTATTTTATATAAGTAGAATAACATTGCTTAATTTAATGAGACAATTAAAACAATATGGTGAACTGTCAAAAAATGAAAAATGATCTTAAATGTTATCATTCCAAAGCAAGAGAAATTGAGTCTCCAAAAAGAATTCCCATTTACGTGGAAGGAAAAGGAAATAGGTTACCTGGGAATAAAACTAACTCCTTCAATGAAAAGCATATACCAGGCAAATTTCATCCCCTTAATTAATGAAATAAAGGGTGAGTTGGGGAGACTTTCAAAAATAGTAGCTTCTTGGATAGGTCGTATAAATTTGGTAAAGATGGTGATAGTCCCAAAGATTCCAAAGTTTTACATGCTTCCAATAAACTTGCCAAGGTCCTTCGAGGTATAAAGAAGCTGATGCTCAGGTTTATATGGGCAAATAAGAAACTGAGAATCAGTTATGATGTATTGTGTAGGGTAAAAAGGAATGGTGGATTGGGGTTGCCTAATTTTAGGAAATATTATTGTTATTATCATGAATAGTAGACTGGACATTTAATTCACAAGGGAAAGGTTGGGTAAATATGGAAGGAACACTAAGTAAAGCACAGCTAGGGAAGATTATATGGATACAACATACATTTCATACACTAGATGACAGAAAAAACTGAGTACTGCCCGTGATACTTTTTTTATTTGCACTAACATACAATTTTGAGGACAAGCTTTCAGAGTATGTCCCCTTCTTCAAGGTCCAAGCAGTACTATGACCATGGATCACTTGGACAATTGCACCTATCACTTTATCTCACCATGTAATATGGACTGAGTTTTTTCATTTATGCTATTGTGCAACCTATGTTCTGATTTTCCATTTGTTCTTATTAGGGAGGTGCCCCTGACCTGTGTACTCATACCACAAGGCCATCCTGACTGACATCCTGGTGGCCAGATCTTATTCTGGATGTAAGTTTATCCATTATTTGTACATGCTGTAATTTTGCTTATTAAAGATATATTACACTATTAGAAGCCTCTCTGGGTCTCATCTTGCATGGGAGCCCGCTTTTGAAGGTTCCTGCTGGTTTGGAGTGATGTGTGATTACCCCCTCCCCCGCTGATGATCTTCCTGGTGGATGACTTACGAATATACCTGGATTGATGACATCTGGTGGCTAACCTGTAGATGACATCCTCCTGATATCACAAGTCCAGAGCACCAGGAGCGGGTCTTAATTGCTCCATGCGCACTTTATGCGCTATCTGGTTAGTGCATTATTTGTACAATTACAAGATCACAAGAGTCACAATTATCTCTTACCATGGATCACTTGGACAATTGCACCTATCACTTTATCTCACCATGTAATATGGACTGAGTTTTTTCATTTATGCTATTGTGCAACCTATGTTCTGATTTTCCATTTGTTCTTATTAGCTTTATTAACGCTGCATATATTTTTTTACAAGTACTATTACAAAGTTTTATTTTTTATTATTTATATATATATATATATATATATATATATATATATTTTTTTTTTTTTATTTTATGACTCTCTCTGTGAGTTTTGTTCTCCCCCCCCCCAGTCTTTGCTTTTGCTTTGCTGTGTCTTATCTCTAGTCTAACCCTAGGCTTGTGTTTATTTTCTGCTTTTTTTTTTTCATCCCCCACATCTCTTCTAACATTTTGCTAAAACTTTGTAATAGTACTGCTTGGACCTTGAAGAAGGGGACATACCCCGAAAGCTTGTCCTCAAAATTGTATGTTAGTGCAAATAAAAAAAGTATCACGCACAGTACTCAATTGTTTCTGTCGCAAGTGCACTAATACGGCTACAATCACCTCATACACTAGATGAGAATACTAGTCCTTTAACAAAAAAAGTGTTAGGTGTGTGGAATGGAATTTATAAGCAGAAAGGATGAAAATATAACTTCGGCTTGACTCCTTTAGTGGGTACGGAGTGCTTTCCTCCTTGGAAGGATACAATTTATGGTAAATGGATTAAAGATAAAAATGCACGTTTGAAGGATATTTTGCACAAAAGGAAGTTACACACATACCAAAAGTTAAAGAGTAAAAAATATTTATTTTTCTCATTAGATGATTGGCGGTATGGGCAATTAGGACATTTTGTTTCATCGCTCCCTCAATCACTAGGGACCTCGAAGGATATTCACCCATTTGAAAAACTGTTGAATGTTAATACAGTTCCAAAACAAGCCAACGCCAGGATATATAAGATCCTGATAGATATGGAGGGAGCTGATCCTCCTGGGTTCTTGGAAAAATGGGAAAAGGAGTTTGGAACAGAATTGAATGAACAACAAAGGAATAAAATATTTAAATTAACACATGAAGTGACAAACATGAGCACAGCAGATATTAATTATAAATGTTTGTATATTACACCGTGTGTGGCACATAAACAGCAAATGGATGTTGCACCTTTATGTTGGAGAGGCAGTGGGAATAACGGTACAATGGTATCAGGGGCGGACTGACCATTTGGAAACTCGGGCACTGCCCGAGGGGTCGAGGTCAGTAGGGGGCCCCATGAGATGCCCCTGGTACCTTTTTCATAGGCTTTTTTGAGTTTGGGCAAGGACACAGGGGCCCCATGATCCCCTATTGCCCGGGGGCCCCATGAGTTGTCATTCCCCCCCGAATGGCACATACTGTATATGGTGGGATTTGCCCGAAAATACAGGATTTTTGGAAATAAATAATTGTATCCAGGAAATCAGTGGGATTACTATGCAAATGGACCCGTGGGCATTGGTCTATTTTATTTAGAGCCTGTAGGCAAACAGTATAAAAACAGTGTATTATATAATTTAGTCAGGGCGGCTAAGGGCTTGATCCCCAAATTCTGGTGAGCCCTGGAGCCGCCAAGAATAAATGATTGGCTAAATAGAGTGATAAATATTTTTAGGATGGAGGAACTGTGTCATATGGAAGAGGATAAAATGGAAGAATTTAGGAAAATATGGAGTTGTTGGTTGAACTTTAAAACATTGAGACGATACTGAGAACTGGTATGGAGTTTAGAGTCCGGGGAAGCCTGATGGGGAACTTGAAATAACAAGAGGTTGTGAGAAATTTGGGCACATAGTTACTGATAGATAAGATGAGTAAGAATTTAGTCAAGATCTGGACAGGGGTCTTAAGATGGGGTGGGAGGGGGGGGGGGGGTATAAGAAAGAGATCTTTTGAACTTAAGAATGTGATGTATATTTTGTTTTTAAATGTCTTTTATTATTTTTGTATTGGAAAACTAAATAAAGACATAATAATAACATTTTTTAAAAAAATAAGTATGCCAGTCACAGGGAAAAAAAAAGAAAAGAAAATCAATATATGGTCAAAATGATTAAACTTGATCAATATTTACAAAATTAAAATGAACTGTAGCACCGCTCACAGTTATTAAATTGCAACTAGTCAGTTATAATGTCTTAACAATAAAGTAAACACATGCGCTTGTTTGAGGTATTAAACCTTAATTGTATGGGAAAGGCGCTATGTGACAGATTTCTAAATTTTGTTGTTAATTAAAGCCCCATGTTTCCCCTGCAGAGAAATAGCAAGCAGTATGTGCTGTTTTTCATATGTATATTTTTCATATGTCCTTAGGCTGGTCTCATGGTACATGGAATCCTCTTCTTCTTCAGATCTTCTCTAGCAGTGGGTAATACTCAACATACAGAGAACAGTGCTTCCATGATGATGCCAGCACCACTCTCTTTATCACTGTAAGCATATGCAAGGTGCCATTGTGACACCCACTCGGGATAAGTTGCACTGCACTCACAACATATGGTCTTCCATGCTGAATATCGCTAAACAATGTTTAACTAAGGGACATCTAGTAGCTGAAATGCAGTGAGAGACAGCGCCAGCGTAGTAGTAATTAATGCAGCCAGAGCTGCGTTTTTGTTTTAAATCCCAGCTGAAGGACAATTTTTTAAATTAGTTAAATAGTTCCTATGCAGTTAACCAAAAGGCATGTGAATGACAATGGCTGTTGTAGCTAGCATAAAGAGCAATTATGTGCAGAACAGAAATGTTGTTTTTATTTCTCCTGCTGAGAATGCCTGATGCTTGTCACGCTGACCTCCATGTTTTAATACTATGAGCATTGA